TCGACCAAGATTTGCCGAGAGTCAACGTAACCTTGATCGGCAAATTGTTGATGTTGAGGGGTAAACCGTCTGAGAATCCGTGGTTGTCTTCGTCTCTACAAAACCAAAATAAGTAACAAGAATGAACGGTAATTCATTGAGCACAATAAGACGATTTACCTCAAGGTTGTCCACTACGTATTCAGTGCCACCTTTATCACGATACTCACCACTTCGGAGCGACAACGCTACTAGAGATTCCGCCATGTCATCTTCCTGCATCGGCTGAAGAATGGAGCCTATCAATTTATGTGTAATAAAATTTCGAGCTTCCTCGAGAGCAACTACAGTGCACCCAGAAGCAAATTGGATCACTCTTGTTACTAAATTAGTTAATGTCCTTAGGCTATAGGTAGTCTTACCTCTTCAATATACTCTTCCACATAATCTCCTTCCATGACAACCTCTTCAGCCATCTCAGGAACAGGAATACCATTATCATCGACATATTCGACCTCAACTTCTGAAACACTCAAACAGGTAAATTCCAAGCAATTTGAATTTTGTTGTGAACCGGGCTGACTGTGGGTCGGCCCAACTTCAGGTATACTCCCCCCCTCCACTCCAATTGCGTATCACGATATAGATAGTGTCCTAACATAGTGTCCTAAGGAAACTATGATTACTGGGACAGCGACTTTTATCAAAGTTTCAGGAGGTTTTCTTAAAATTTCGTGTTGAAATTTCGTGAGTTTTATAGAATTTTTCGAAGAATTAGCTAATCTCATTATATTCAAAAATAGGGCCCCCTCTAAAAACAGCGAAAATAACTTCTCACCTCCTCAAAAGCACAACATGGGACTTGCTCGACTGAATGAGTCGAGCCGACGGTTGACTCTGGTTTTGAAACGCAGTCAAAGTTTCAGCAAAACGTGCTCCAGCGCGAAGAACGCAACAATCCGCGGAACAATGTGATAAGCTCATTTCCAGTAGGAAAAGGCGCGATTCATGCCATTTCGAACTTGAGCATTAATTGACGCACACCTTGGCATTCCCCAAACAATATAACTCCCTTGGTCGAACGAGCATTTTTTGAGAGGCTTCAGCACCAGATAACTATTGTAAAGGTTTTAATTAGCAACCATCTGCTCAAATCCACAACGGATTCCTTAAAAATTTTACCACTGCCCACCCAGTAAAAACCGTCGGAAAGGAAAGGCAAGGAATGCTGATGGACATCGTTGTTCGCAATATGAGCACCACTGGCGCTAAATTAAAGGTTCATCACCTTGACCATGGTACTCTCAGGTGAGGTTCTTCTCTGTGCTGAAGCATACATTACAAAACGCACATCTATGTCAATTTCAGGACTATAAGATTTATGCACAGGACGGACAAAATGATATCCCAATCTGGACCTCTCCTCATCTCACTTTCACGGAAATCTTTGGTGAAGTTAAGCAACCACACGGTTAAAAACCTAAGGTAGGAATTCCAACGCAACTACGAGTAATGATGACCAAGTATTACAGTTTCTGACCAGTTTGGCTGCAGCTCGTGATGCGAACGGTATCAGTTGTGAGCAAAATAATTTGCTCTAAAAACTGTGAACCTGGGCTGCTACTGCTATGTGGGGAGGTGCTCTACAGCACAACTAAGGCTATAAGTCACCTTAACTCATTATAGTGAAGAAGCACGCTGAGATATTTGCTCTTAAGCTCGCTCTTAAGCTTACAAAGTGGCTCACGGATTATGTAATTCGATTTTGGTGGCACATCCATAGGACAAGAGCAAAGTAGATAGAACACAACCTCGCTACTCAACCGGCGTTCGAAAGGGGCGTGTTACTCACAATCAAGGCTCCGCTGGTGTCTTCATTAGATAAATAATGACTTAAATAAAGTGCACTTCGGGTTGTGGGCGCACTGTTGAGCAAGGGTGAAGAAAGAGAAATCGCTCTCACGCAGCCAGAAGTATGTTTGTGCGCTGGCATGAGAACTTCGTTTTTTTTTTTACTGTTTCAGCATCACAACTCTACAAAAGTTGCTTCCACAGGCATCCGCATGATACAAAAATTTACGACACACCTGCTTGTGAGCATTTTGAACTAATGGAGGATGGTTGCAACTGCTAAACTATAAGATGAAATCCCTTACTAAAAACAGTTCCATTCCATATGACTACAATTCAAGGACTGTAAATACTGCGCGCAGCTTCTGATATTTTTTAAGAGCAAGATCAGGATCTATTCCAGTAAAAGGGGAGCATATGATTTAGAGCGCTGAACATGTTCAAAACGACGGATGGCATATTCTACCAGTGTAAAGGTTTACAACTAAGCCTTAGAAGAAAGAGAAAACCCCAGATTCGTAAGCAATTTTCATTTTCTCCCGGGCTTCCACCCCCCCCCCCTAGCTTAGCCTTAGCTGCCCACTAGGTAAACGTTCAATCCGGTAAGAGGGTGCATTGCGATGCACAGTCAGCACTTATGCCATTTTGGCTTATCGAGTCTTTTAAAGTTTCAAGCTGCTATCAGTTTTATTCCTACTTCTTCTGTTTTTTTAATAATGTATGTTTTGTTTTATGACATAAACGTCCATGAAAGGTGATATTTACCTGGTGAGCAGTTAGGACTAAGCGAGGGAAGAAGCCGTTGGAGAAAGCGAAGATTGCTTACTAATCTGGGGGTTCTATCCCACTTCCAAAACTTAGTCCTGAACCTTTACACTGGAACAATATGCTATCGTGGTATTAAACACCTTGAGCGCTCTGAACCGCATGCCCCCCCCCTCTATAGCTTCATATAACTTTTCATAGACGTTGTCATGAAACAAGAACACATACATTATATAAAAAACCAGGAGAAACAACGTAGGAATAAAGCTGATAGCAGCTCGTAACTTTAAAGGACTCCTTGACTGGCATTAGAGCAGACTGTGCACCGCAATGCCCCCTCTTACCGGAATAGACCCCAATATCACTTCTATCGTTTGATCTCGTCCGGTTGAAGAGGGCCTGTAGTGCG